TGTTGATCTTAAATTAGACACTGCTGCTGAATCATGTTTGTTGTTTTTTTCACCTAGTTAGAGATCAGCCGTACTTGCAGTAGATGTGAATCAGATCACCCCCATTGCTTCAGCTACACCCCCTATTTTACCAAACCCCGCCCTCCAAAAACATGTCAGCCAACCTGAGGTCAGCAAACCCAAACATTTAAAAAAGCTGAAAAGCGCGGGCTGCTTTTTTGAAGAGCCTAGTGTTGTCACAGAGACAGGTGTGGTTTCCCAGGACACCCTTTTCAGTGTTTTGTGTCAGGACTCTTGAATGCCTTCTTTCAAGCCGTTAAATGTTTTCCTAAACAGTCCAGTGAAGTTTAAGAGGGATGCCCTCCCAGCCATGGTTTCTCTCTTCTTATATCATGTCCACCCATGTATTATGAAGATGTTGCTTTTTCAACTGTGGTTACATGGAAAATATGACTGTTCCCCCTTTTTTTTCTTATGGGTGTATTGGGCATTTATTTATAGGACTGTTGAGAGACAGGAAAGTTGAGGGAGAAAGAGGGCCATTGGGATCGAGACGTGACTTAGGTTTGAATATGGATCCCGTGAACCAGCTGCTCTTACATATATCATCAGCATGTGCACTATCCACAGCTCTGACGTCTATTCTTGTCATGATTGCTCACTTTTGAAACATCAATGTAAAATGCCAGCCTCACTGGAGAAAGCAGTGAAAATGCACTTTCACCATTTCATTCCTGTGCTGTATTTCAAATATATACACTACTGTTCAAAACTTTGGGTATGCAACTTTTTTTATGTTTTTGAAAGTCTCTTATGCTCACCAAAGCTGCATTTGAGTGAGTAATCAGTCGATTCTGTAAGACGGTGAGTTATCTGAATGTTTCATACAGGACAGATGCAGAATAATGACTCCTTTTTAAAAGACAGAGTGCTTTCTGTTTAGATGGTTTGATGTAACAGCTATTAAGATAAATTCTCTTTCCTCTCTTGTGCAGGCGGAGGCAAGACTTGCTGCGAAGAGAGCAGCTCGTGCTGAAGCCCGGGACATCCGGATGAGAGAATTGGAGCGGCAACAGAAAGAGGTGAGTCCTACAGAGCAGATGGGAAGAGAAAAGGCACTTGAACCTCCTGCCTAATGAATAGTGCTGAAGTTGCACCAATGTGCAGTTTCTTAAGGTCTTCATAACTCTTTCCTTCCTGTAAGGCATTATAGACACACTTTCAACATGAAGGCTGTTCCAAAAAGTTGGCAGCATTATTGATGCAGGGTTGCATGTATCCTTAATGGAGAAGGAAATCTTATAATGCATTGCGACAGGTAGCAAAATGATAATGCAAAACACTATTGAAATACTGAATTGAGTCTCCCATATGCTGAGCACTATTAGTATGACACATGGGTTGCTGCATATTTAGTTACAAATAGATCACCTATGAGGTTCAATTTCACTTAGGATGCTGCCTGTGTGGCATTAAATGGCAAGGCAGCTCACTGGGTTTTGGAACAGAGCCTCTGCATTTCATTCAGAATATGCCTGATCTTCTATATACCATCACCTCTTTTGTTGCAGTAAAGCATAAGGATTGTTTTTAGAGTGGCCTTTTGAATAATTTGCTTGTCTGTTTCAAGTATTTTTGTTGAGAAGACAAAGTACGGCTGCTTTTACACGTAGTTCCAGATTCACAACCCAAATTTATCTAGCTGATTAACTAAGCTCGTAAGTGGAAACAGGCCTATGACAATACAGTTTGTTTTCAATGGTTGCAGCCACATGTGAATGATTCAGTTATTGATTTCAGCTGTATCTGTCAGTTTTTTTCTGTACTTGTGCATTTTCAGATGTTGTAATACACTTTCAGACCTGGTTTGAAGAATATGTTTGCATACTTTATGCATACATAAAGTACATACTTTCGGTATGAGTAATTGCATGTTAATGGGTTTGTTCACCAGTATGTTTGTTTGTGTTTTTCTCTGTAAGACATTCACCAAAAAAGTACCAAACAATCCACTGTCACATTGAATTGCAATAGAAGTCTTTGTGTTTGTCTTGTGGCTGTCTCTCTCTCACAGCTGTCTTACCATCAGCAATCCTCCTCTAGCAGGAAATGGGGGCAAATCCACCAATGGATGGTATGAGAAAGATTAGGCCAGTTTGGACATGCATGTACTTTCACCTTTAACTAATAAAGACCTTTCAGATGGGAGTGTGCTAGCTGTATTCTCATACACTCAGTTGTTTGTATGTGACTTTCAAGCATGTTTTTTAATAATAATTTTTACTGCTCTTTTGGGTTTATAAAGGAACCCTTGTGGTCCTGTTGTTGTCTTTAAAAATAGATTTCTGTTAGGATAGGGATTCACTTTTTCGGGATAGTTTTTTGCACATGATCTATTTGCTTTTGTTTGTGTGTTTGTATATATTACAGTGGTAAACCCATAAAATGGATCTCAGCATTTTAGTTTTATCAGTCTAAAAACGAGTATCTCTATGTGGCCTTTTCTTTATGGGCTGGGTGATATGTTCCTGATGTGTTTGCAGTGATTTTGCTGACAACATTAAGATATGTTGTGAATATTACAATAATTTTAATGCCATTTTCAATTTTATTTAGAGATGTTTTAATAGCAGCTATGATTTTTAATTAATGTTTTTAAACCCCTGCACTACATATTTCATGTATTTGTTTATTGTATTTTAAACTGTTTATTTTATAGTGTGCATATACATGAAAATAATACATTTTTAATATAATACCTTAGATAATATTTTTAGTTAAAAACAAAAGTAAATGAATTTTATTATTCATTCAGTGAATAACATTGTGCAAAATATGCATTGATTTATTTTCAGCTAGATATTTACTGTGTTTAACTACTTCCATCAGTTCCAAGCAAGTATGTAAATATTAAGACACATTTCGAATTTTGTCAAAAGGGTTTATTTTTTAGCTATATTGCCCAGTCCCTGTTGTCATGTTGCTGCTAGTAGGCTTGTATGCTTGCCCTGAAATTTGAACAGGTCTTATCCTGGCAGACTATCAGCAAGTGTAGTGTGTTTAGAGTTTGTTTAGGACCGCTGGTGAAGACTAACACTAACAGCCTAAAACATGCAGCGTTCTTTTGTTTAAATTCTGTATCCTTCATTCTGTTCATCTCAGTCTGATACAGAAAAAGCCCGTCATGGTCATCATTCCAGTAGCCACAGTCAACGGGTCTGTATCTCCTGATGTTGCTGTCCGTCTACTTTCTTTCTCCTCTTTTTTCTTTCGTCTTATTACTTTTTTTTTTATTCTCCTAATTTTTCATCAACAGGGATTAAATGATGACACGGCATCAGTCCAGAGTGTCGGAAGTTACAGGGTGTGTCATACTGGAATTTTTTTTCATCAACATATATCGCTTATTTTCTTGTGTAGAGTAAAACTTGCCCACAAGTTGATGTGAAACAAGTCTTATTTGAGACATTTAAACATTAATTGTAGTAATTGTTTAATTTTAAATATTGGTACATAGCATACAAATAGAACGTTGCTCCAGCAATCAGCATATATTTTATTGATCCAGTAATCATAAACTGGAGAGTCTTAAAAGCCTGTTTAGAAAGGTAGATAAGTGCATTTAATAAGCTATTGAAATTTGAAAAATGAATGTTTTCCTATTGGATTTCTACTTTTAAAGTCAAGTTCGTCATCTTTACGAGACCTGAGCAGTTCTCATCGCTCCAGTCGGGTTAGTTCTTCCAGGAG